TCTCTCTCTCTCTGTCCCAAAAATAAATAAACGTTGAAAGATACAGAATCTCAACCCTACAGAATCTGCTTGGCCATCCTTTGGATGCATTTGGCCTGCTCTAGCAGGTTTCTGTCAGTTGCAGACAAAAACAAGTCCTCATTTCTTTGGCAATCTTAGGGCATCTCAACTGCCCTCAGGAAGACTTCCCAATGAAAGGAGGTGGGCAATGATCTAATCCCAGAAAGGAGTCCTCTTGTTTTTTGTTTGTTTGTGTGTGTTTTGTGGTCTTCCTGGATCAAAAGTTGTAGATACTTTTGAACTTGGCCACTGAATGAATGGAGATTGTCCCAGTTGAAAGGGCTGCATGGTAGAAAAAACAAAAAGGGATGCTGTTTGAATTTAGAAAGATCTGAGTTCAATTCCTGCTTGAGAACGTCACTTATCCTCTCTGAATCCATAAAAGGGGTAATAATAAAGCCTTATTTATAGGACTAAGGGACAGACTGAATTATCTATCTATCATCTATCTATCTAATTTTATAAATCCTTGGCATATTTGCAGGAAAAATTGTTTTATTTCGAGTTCCAGTAGAATCCTTATGATGCTCAGAAAATTATGCAAGTATTTAGCCAAGAACTGAGGCAAAACACCAATAGTAGTGTAGACTTTCTCAGAGCTTGCTGGGTTCAAAATGTGTGACGGTTTAAATGAAATGTATTTAAAATGATAGAATTCATTTGCAGGAGTCACAGCTTTTCTTTTATAGAGTAGCAGCCTTTTACATGTTTTTTTTTTTAAGATACTGTAATTAAATAGCATATTTAATTTCTAATAATGCCACCAGACAGAAAGCATAAGCCCACCGAAATGCCATGTGCAGAGTCCCGTAGCCTACTGAGGCACAGCCTGATTGAAGGACTCTGTAGCTGTCCACCCCAGTTTACATAGGTGACGCCAGCTGTGCCCAGCCACCTCTGTTGGTTGGCTTTGCATACCCATCTGCGTGTTTGTGCTTTGTTCCCTCTCGGGAGCCTGAAGAGGGAGGGGAAGGATAAGAAAAAAGATTTAAAGATCAGGAAGGAAACAATTACAGCGATGATTGTGATTTAGGTCTGTTTTGCCTAGAAGAGGCCTTGGACATACCAAGCTTCAAACCCATCTCTGCTTTGACCTTAACTCTTCTTATTTTTATTTTATTTTATTTTTTAACGTTTATTTATTTTTGAGACAGAGAGAGACAGAGCATGAACGAGGGAGGGTCAGAGAGAGAGGGAGACACAGAATCTGAAACAGGCTCCAGGCTCTGAGCTGTCAGCACAGAGCCCGACACAGGGCTCAAACTCACGGACCGCGAGATCATGACCTGAGCCGAAGTCGGCCGCTTAACCGACTGAGCCACCCAGGCGCCCCAAGACCTTAACTCTTTTTAGGTCTCGTTTTATTCTCTTGCTGCTACCCAGTCCTTTCCGCCCATCACTGTATGGGCAGTATGATTTTTACGGAGTTCAAATTGCCAAGCTGCCCCCCTTGCTTAAAAAGCTTTCACCTTTGGGGGCGCCTGGGTGGCGCAGTCGGTTAAGCGTCCG